AAAATAGAAAAAATATTTAATGAATGGTTTCAAAGATGCAAATCAAAGGTGAAACATAAACAAACGCTTCTGATTTTAAAGAAATCCCCCTAAAGTTCATAAGCAATGAAAAGATAGAAGAAGTCTACAGGATTTTTATTTATTTAGAATCAAAAAGCAATTGTGGAGTGATGAAAGAAGAAAATACAAAGATCTTCAAAATCAAAAGGACACAAAAAAGACTAATGGATTTTATGAATGCAATCACTAGAGAGTGAAAATACTGTAACATAGAACAAATACCTATTAGAAGTGCACGAATTCAATAAACCAAACACACCACTATACACCACGAGAATCCAGTGTACAAGTACCTTGGCTCATTACTTTTTGTCAAATTCTAAAGAAAACCTGCATAATCCATCTGCTATCTATCATGTTTTCCTACTTCTAGATGGGAAATGCAATTATCCCATCAATTTTAATGAGAAAACTTTGAAAAACAGAGCTCTAAATCAATAATTCTTGTGACAATCTTAAAAATTGAAAAAATTAATATTTATGTAAATCCAATAGGCCTTCTATATGTAAAAAGAAAAATGTAAATACTTAGCTGCACTGTTTCTGGAAATAAAATACAGAAACAATTTTTGATAAATGTAAAAATAAGCCATAAATTAGATGGTTGGATTTTTACATTAAGTTTAGTAATATATATATATGCAAAACTTGAAGTAGGTTTTGAAATGGTTTGAATAAGAAAAAAGAAAGTGTATTTTGAAGTGTAAGGTAATGCACCATCTAATTTATACATATTTATGAAATTATACATTTATACATTTTCATTAGGAAACAAATATTTCAGAAAACTTTTTCAAGTGCCTTTCTGTGCTTGAGGATGAACAAGACTGGCTATATTTTAGTATGTTTAAAATTTATTTTTATTATTGCATAGAACAAATTTAAAGAAATTTGCAAATAAATACCCACCAAAGGCGTCACATAAGCTAGTTTGTAATAATTTGTTATGTTATGAAATAATGATTTACAACTTCATTATTCTGTTGGACATAAATGTTTAGATTAGAATTTTTTTTACGTCAAAAAGTATTTTCTTATTCATTTTTGGCCATGTCCTGGTATTTTTCCTTCATATTGAACAAATATTTACAAAACGTTTTTTTTTAAACATTGTTTAGGGTATCTATTGTGTTGTCATAATTTCTTCTCTGTACTTATTTTTGACCTAGCCATTGCGGCCCTCTCAGCGACTCGCACTATTTCCCTCCTCGGCTGTCGGAGATGGCTTCCAAGTCCACCTTCGTCAGCCTCGAGTAGTAAAGCATTTTAAAAAACTGCAAACATTTCAAAATGGATGTCTCAGAGCAGTACTGTGCGCCCCCAGGTACATTTCTAAAGCGGAAATACATTGCGATTTATCAATCCCCCTGCTCTCTTTTCCGACCTTGTTTCATACGAACCCGACTTACGGGCGAAATACAATTGGCCTAAACACCTACTGGAGTAAGAAAACTGGCTTAACTTGAAACAAACTTTGTATTATCCGCGCACGTTTTCTTGAGCCCTCACTTCGCTAGATGGCGGATAAGTGGGGAGATTGATTATTTTGTAGTCAGTAATTTATCAAATTTGTAGTGAATTTTTTCTATGCAAAATAGATTCTATTTCACGGGAGCGAACATTTATGGTTATCATATATTGTCAATAAAGCTCATTGCAATCATTTATTCCGAATTAAATTTATATTTGTAAAGGAGTAGGGTAGGTAATACGGGGCTCAAGAAATCGTGCGCATGTACTTTTGCACACGCAATGCGTGCGCGGGTGCCTACTGTCAATCTGGCCTTCTGTTTCTTTTAACTTTGAAGAATTGGTCATAGATGCCGAATAAATGCTCACATCGCGGAGGCGTGAACATGCAGTTCACTTTCGGTGCGTTCACAAAACTGCGCAAATAAGACTCGCTAGTGGGAAGTAAAGCCGAGGGACCCGTAGACCCATTTCGGCATTTGGTGTCTGCTGGTGGTTCTTTCTTTTGATTGATTGATTGATAGATTGATAGTGAATCCGGGCGCGTGTTTAATCCCGTAAGGGTAGAGCATGTTTTGCTCGGGAGGTGACGGTGCTCTTCCCCCACTGGATGACAAGATCCGGTGCCGACCTACCGTCGGCTGGCAATGTTTTCCCTCAACCAGGTATCTCCCACCAGCAGAGCTCTGTCCCAGTCGGGACAAGCTCTCAGCTATCGGCCTGTTTCCCGGCATGTGTGCTTGTGTAGTGCATGTTAGTGTGTGTGTAAGGGGAGAGAATAAACAAGGAAGAGGTAGGAAAGATCGCGCGCAACCTGTGGCCCGTTCGATTGCTCCGGCATTTACCTAGAGTTGATCGGAAAACTACCGATCTCAGCAGCCGGCCGCTAGAATTCTCTTCCAGGCAGCGACTGAGCTGACAAGCAAATAGTTTTGAAAATACTGCCACCATCGGGATTCGAACCTAGGACATCTCGGTCAGAGGGAGTGCAGTGCCATCACTTGATGCCCTGGGTCATCTCTCCCAGTTTTCCCTTGGTAGGATGTGGTTTAGAGCAGGGGTACCCAAGGGGGTCGGTATCGACCCCCCTGGGGGCGATGAAATTTTGAAGAGGGTCAATGATCTTAATGGGGTCTGCATTGGAGGTCTACAGCAGAATTTGAACCGGTGATTGATATGTATAATCAAGATTCTATTGGGTGCAAAATATATTAAATGAACTTGATAATTGGTTTCTGATAGAGGGCAATAGAACATGTAGCACTAGATTACAAATTCGCTCCTTTTGTCTTCTTCCGTATCCGTTGTTCATTCTTAGGAGCAGGGGCTTCGCTAGACTCTTGCAACGCATCGGTTCTCCGAAGTATAACTCGACTAAGCGAAGAATGAAAGAGGTGATTGCGATGCGTCGTGGAACCCACAGTGTAAACACGGGTCTATACAGTCAGTTTCGATAACAATTATCGCGAGGAGCGTGAAGCAAGTTGTTTTTGGACGTAGCTAGGGGAAATGTGAGTTCTCGTCGAGATGTGACGTTCGTGGGCAGGCGTGGCGTCTTGCCTGTAATGTAATTAAATTTTGTGTTAGTGAAAATGAAGGTAATCGAAAGAAACGCGTATCAAATGTAACTTTCTAATTTACAAATAATGACAAATAATAAGAAATTGATAAAATAACTATGGAAGGATGGAAAAAAGCTGTCACTCATTGCAATAAAATAGCCAAAGAATACTGGAATAGGGATGCTTTGCTTGAAAATGCTGTTGGTGACCTTGAAATATAAGTCGGTCCGGCAGTGAATCATCTAGTGACACGAATACTAGCCAGAAAACTCTAACGGCATCATAGATTGCTTCTACGGAATCAGCTGATGAAATATAACTTCAGAGATACATTATACAAGATTTGCACTCACAATTTAATTTTGGTCACGTTAAGTTGCATTTGTTTACTTTTACCTTTCTAATACAAGAATATAATTAATAATTATTTCTTTTTATACCGAATTTTTATTATTTTTTCGTTAATTTTAAACATTTTGTATCCTTCTTCATTCATCTTTTTTGAGCAGACATTATGCGTTTTGTTTAGGTATGTAATAAAGAACCAAAACTTCACGGTCATAAAGTATCTACAATTTTCTTCATTATGATGGTAGTTGCTTCTTACATAAAAAATAATTTTATTTGGTATATTTTCGGAGAAACCACTTAAGTTAAATTAAACTATTTATACGATTGTTACGGTAAAATTTTCTGCTCATCAAAGGAATTCGATCAAAATTTTGATTCGTTCTGTACAGAAAAG